TTATTTTGATAATCTAACACTTAAAATAAAATATGTTTCATTTTAATAACATGAAGCATAAAAAAATAAATATACATGTCGAATTGAGTAACCTCCTCCTTTTCGAAGTCGGTTAAAAATAGAATACTTTCCATAGTTCTTAACTTGAATATAAACTGTATACGTATGATACACGAATGGAGAAACTATTTCTTGCAAATATTATAATATCTTGCAATTGAAGAATACCTCTTTTCGTCACTCATTTTATGAAGATTCGTCCCGAACATTCTTAATAGAAGTATTCATTGAAGAACTATATTGAATGTATGCATATAATCCAGAGGAAAAGTACATCATTCGTTTTAGATTACCAAAATAAATATATTTTACATTATAATTTAGTACTATTGCTATACTATTTACTATTTAAAATACGTATTTTACCCAGCTCTGAATGTATACAGTGTCATATTTATACATGTACATAAACTTTACACTATTATATATTATTGTATTGTTATTACTATATACTACATATTTACTACTTAATATTTTCACTTTATATCGATATATTATCAATAACACCTACGAATTGATGAAAGTCAGACAAAATAAATGTTTGTGATGTGACGTCGATGAAAACACGTCGGTGATTTCAATGCAACGCGTCCGCAAAAGCAATGCTAACTGCTGGCACTCCTTCCGTTTCCACGCACGCTTCGTATCTTCCTATCAGAGAAATATCCAGAAATGCTTAATCATTAATCATTTTCAAATATTAACAAAGGGTTAAGAAGCTTTTAAATACAATACAAGAATGAATATGAGAGACAATTAATGAAGGAAGCTATCTAAGCATCAAATTTTTCAAACACTTTTATAGTCCCGGCTATAAATCGTGGTTTGTTAATAAATCTCTTTCTAAAGATCTCGTTAATTGGATCAATAGATTTCGTACAATCCATTATCAATTGGCTGCTTCACTTTATAAATTCAACTGTCGTTAAAAATCCCAATTGTCAATGTGGTTATTCGGAGCAAGATCTACACCATGTCTTATGACAATACTCGTTGTACGATATTCAGAAGTAGGTTCTATCATCCTTATCCAATGGACGCCTTTTCGAGTATACAAATTATTGCGGCATTACGAATCGTACATGAATTTCTAAAGACAGGTCGCTTACATCTGTGAATGTATATTTATTAGAAATTAGTTAGAACGTCCTCTAGTTGTTTTCTAAACGTTTATATAGCCCATGTAAATGTATACAGGGTGGAAATTATAAATTGTTACACTCGAATATCTCCGAAAATATTAAGCGCCGCTCGCTAAGCGTGACATTGCAACCACAAATTCATAATTCATAATGATAATAAAGTTACGGTGTAAAGCCTGGTACGAAAAAGAGGATACGCTTACAGCGCGACCACCAAAAGGCCTCCGGATTAATAAATCTCAATTACGCGAGTTAATACCCGGGGCAATTCACTCCCCTGGCCTCCGCAAGGAACCGGATACGAGGGTGAAGGCATTTCTATCGGGCATTGTCGCTGGGACAATGACGATGACGATTCCATGGATCCGCCTTCGCTTGTAAAACCGTCGCAACCTCGTCGAAATTTATCGCCATTTGTTGATGAGTTCTCTCCTTTTAATAGTATCTAGTGGAACGAGGGGAAACAACGATTAAGAGAATGTTCAGTTCCTTGCGCGTTCGTCGTTGTTTGTCTATCGCTTATTTATTTATCTATCGTTTATCTTTCGTTATTTAATTGGAAGGAATATTCAGGTCGCTTGGTGTAGGCATGACACCTTGTATATTAGATCATAGAAAGCAATACAGTTTCAATGATCAAGCATTTGGCTGAAACAGTAGGTATTATTATTTAAAATAATGAAGCAAGCGAAGACTCTAACTCGACTGAAATAAGAATAAACAAGTAACTATAATTATATTTTCTAGATTGTATGGTTCAGGCGTGATACCCTGTATATTACATCATAGAAAGTAATCAAATTTAATAATCACGCATTTGGGTGAAACAGTAGGTGTTATTATTTAAAATAATGAACGTAACTATGATTATATATTCTATATTCATACATGTATTATAATTAGTTATTTATACATGTTATTTATACATGTGTAGCAAGTGAAAATGTGGAAAAACGTATGAGGATGTTCACGAATCCAAGAATATATAAACTATAAAACCACTTTCATTAAAATCTCAATTCTTTATCTGAATTTGTTAAAATATGAATTTACATAAACATCCGCAATGATAGAAATAATTACAATTTAGCGATATCTATCCTTTCGATTTAAAAACGAAGTAACTTACGCCACGCTCGAAATAAACAACTCATACATCGTGTCTTTGGGAGGGAGAACTTGAGACCCGATATGCTGGACCTATTTCGAATCTTTCCACTGCATTATAACGCAAATCGTCTGGGAAAAGAGTCGGTTACCACTTTTCTGAATCGAGACTGAATCGAAAGCAGCGAATCACTTTCATATCATCGGGTGGATTCGGTAGTATCGCCAGCTGTAGATTAAGCGGTTAAATCTAGGGGATTAGCGACGGTGTTGATGGCAGAGAATATCGAACAGCGTTCCCGTGATTAAATCCGTTTTCACCGCCTGCCGTAATACAAACGAGACAAAGCGATCAGTCATCTAACCGTTTAATGAAAGTCGCGACCATAACTTAGGACGCTTGGGCTTAAGACACGGCCGAAGGAAACAGCGGCAGAGTCGAAGGTGGAAGTTGAACGCTTAATTCAGCAATATGAAACTCCCCTGCGGCTTACCCTGTCGCAACTCCCCTAGGCGCGTTATTCTGCTTTCTTATTCGCATTATGCCGCACGATCGCAAATATTCGGAGCGATAAAACGACCGTTTTCGTGTATACAGGGCGTTCATCCTGATCGTACCCTCGATATTTGAATCATCTACGATAATTACGCGTAGAGAAGTCTTTAACCTTTGTATAAATTGTGGTAAATCGAAATTTCTAATTATTTGTTTTTTCATTAATAGAATAAGATTAATCTGATTTCTGTGGATGGTACCAAAGTTGAAGATTATTCGACTGAATTTTTTATTTGAATAGCTATTTTAATGAGAACTAGGGCAATTTTAGTAAATTATTTGAAATGAAAGAAAAAATTTTCCGAGAGTATCTAATATTGAGAATTATTTCTATTAGATAGTAGAAACCTTGCTCTTTAATTTGAATTTTGTAAAAATCGAATCGGACAATTTTACGCACAGTTATGACACTTTAAAGTCAGATTCATTTTTATAAATAAACAATTGTTTAAGAACATTTAACAATGATAATAATTATTTAGTGGATAGTAGAAATTACGCCCTTCAATTTGCATTTTGGCAGAATCAAATCGGACGATTCCTCGCTGAGTTACGACACCTCAAAGTTTCCTATTTCATAGACAATTATAAGAGAAGGACAGACGTAGTGACCTATATACATACAGCGTCCTTGCAAGGCCGTTCCAATTCCGAGAAATACTAGTAAACATTGTAGTATTTCCTGAATGGCCCATCCCTCTAAATTTCTTGACATAATAGTAAACATTGTAGTATTTCCCGGATGGGAAAACTCCTTAAAGTTCTTTAAGAGAGATGCAAATGTATCTATTTTTCCTTTCGCACGATTTTAATGAAACTTGGTATACAGGGGTTTTTGAGATCGCCGATTCCAAATCTGAACTCAAAATTTACAAATTCAAAATGGCGAATCCAATATGGCAGCATAAAATCCGAAAAGTGATTCGATCTGGATGAAATTTGATATACAGGGGTTTTTGAG